ACTGAATGAGACCCTTTTGCATGACTCTCAATTTTGTGAAAACCTCACCACTGACATGCACCGATACTTTGCCAACAATCAGACACCGGGAATAACACCGGAGACCTTATGGCAGGCACACAAGCCGGTTATTAGGGGATTCCTCATAGGCAAGCGCTCTAAAACATAAGTCCCAAACTAAAACAAAACACTGGCTAAAAACACTGTATACTCTCAACAAACAAAACCAACTGGCCCCAACTCCAGAGCTAAAAAGACAAATTCAGGAGAAATTAGGGGAAATTAAAGAACATGGCCTGGTGAAAATAGGGTATCACCTTAGAAAACTGAGGGCCACGCAATACGTACAGGGAAATAGGGCAAGCAAATTACTAGCTAGGAGACTGTCACACAGGAATGCGAACACTAAGATCCCATTCATCCAAAACCAAGCAGGGTAGAAGGTGACGCCTAAAGACATTGGGGATGTCTTTGCGGATTGCTATTCATCCTTATACAATATTGGGAACGACGCTAACACAAGCCAACCAACTATGGCCAGTATAGAGAAAAAATACCTAGCAGGGGTCCCCCTACCGTCACTGACTGAGGAACAAATAGCTACAGTGCAAGACACTATCACAGTAGAAGAAGTGCTCCAGGCCATATCCCGCCTTCCGAGCAAGAAAGCCCCAGGCCCAGACGGGTTCCCCAACAATTATTACAAAAAATTTGCACACACCCCAACCCCGCATCTAGTAAACTTATTCAATGCAATCACTCTCAAAGCTGACGCACCGGAAGAGATGCTGGGCGCACACATAGTTACGCTGCCCAAACCAGGGAAACCACCCACATGTAGCCAAAATTTCAGACCAATCTCACTTCTTAATATGGACATTAAACTTTACGCAAAGGTACAAGCCAACAGAATAACCAACATCCTCCCGACACTAATCCACGATGACCAGGTGGGCTTTACAAAAGGCAGACAAGGGTCAGACAACACTAGGAAGGTACTTGACTTATTATATAGCCTGATCGGAAGTGGGGGGGGTACTTCTATCATTGGATGCCGAAAAGGCTTTTGATAGGCTCAACTGGCCTTTTCTGCAGGCAGTACTTGGTAAATACAAGTTCCCCCCAACCTTCATAAATGCCATCCGAGCACTCTACTCGCATCCTACAGCCAGAGTCCTAAACTCTGGGTTCGTATCCAAACAAATACACATCACCAACGGATCGCGACAGGGGTGCCCCCTATCACCGTTACTCTATATCCTGGCACTGGAACCCCTGGCAGCGGTCATCAGGGCTGATCCAGACATACAAGGCATACACCTAGGGGATAACGAATACAAGCTTAACTTGTTCGCTGTTGATATCCTAGTAACGCTGACACACCCCATAATCTCCCTACCAAAGCAAGAATCCAAGAGTACAGAGCAGTGTCCTATTACAAGTTAAACGTCACGAAAACCCAAGCTCTGGGAATAAAATTAGGTGACAATCTCGCAAACAGACTGGAGAGGGTATTCCCCCTAGACTGGAGACATGACCACCTAACATTCCTGGGCATCAAACTACCCAAAATCCCAGCCCACTTGTTTCAACACAATTATGCCCTCATGCTGAATGAATTCTCAGACAACCTGCACACATGGAGGGGTAGGTACCTGTCGTGGCTGGGCCGCATTGCAGCAGTCAAAATGTTGTTCATCCCTAAGATAACAGTACCTTTTCCGTATGCTCCAAATACCCATACCAAAACAATTCCTGAAAAACATGCAACACACTATCAACTCATTCATATGGGAGGGGAAAAAGGCGAGAGTAGCAGCAGGGACGCAACACAGATCAGTTAAAAATGGGGGGTTAGGCCTACCCAACCTAACAGCATACCACAGGGCTGCTTACTTACATAACATCACCCATATCAACCGGCTTACGAACGTCCCACAGTAGGTGACGATTGAGGACAGCAAAGTCCCACAAAGTGATCTCTGGTCACTAATGTGGAAACAGACAGACAATAACCGGGCGCTGGATGCTCTCCTACCCACTACCCAAACCCTACTGCGAGTATGATGCAAAATGAAACACGAGTTATTGTCAACACCGACATTACCCTTGGCCACTCCAATGCAAACTATTGGACTGGAGATCCCTACCTTCCCATGGGACACATGGGTGAAGGGAGGTGTACACCACATATACCAAGTTATAGACAGGGGTTGAATACTACCATTCCCTGACATACAGGACAGGTACAACCTTCCCACTAGAGCAGTATTCTCCTACCTGCAGCTCAAATCTTATGTGTTAGACAAATTAGGGAAACAAACGGACCCCACCGCAATGACGCACATGACAGAATTCGAAAACCAATGTACAGGAATCGCACCACTCCAAAAAATAATGTCCTGGGGATACCAGAAACTACTAGCTTAACAAACACACACATTAGGAGAGATAAAATTGTCATGGCAGCGGGATATAGGCAGAACAATAACAGATAGGGACTGGGAGAGAGCCTATATGGCCCACAAGGGGCTCACAGCATGTGCCACACACCTGGAACTACAGAGCAAAATCTTATACCACTAGTATCTAGTACCAGACAAATTGCACAAAATATGGCCAACAACCAGCAATATATGCAGGAGGTGTGGGAGGGACGTGGGTACAATGATACATGTCTGGTGGACATGCACCACACTCAGACCATTTTGGGAAGCGGTAGCAAATCTAATACAGAAGATACTGCCCGCCCCAAGGGTAGATGACCCACAGGTGTGTCTCCTGTTCATCTTACCAGAAAAAATACCAAAACAAGTCAAGCTGATAGTATACCATGCATTAATTTCAGCTAATCTAGTGATATCAAGACTTTGGAAAAAAGCGATGACCCAGCCTATAGAGGATCTCGTACAGCAGGTAGACCGAAACTGGGCATACGAAAGAATGGCTAACACACAATTTGGAGCACAAAAAGGGGTACTGGAGGCACATGACCTGTGGGTAAAACATATTACAAGTTCACCCACCACAACACTCAACCATAATCACTCAAGCGCGACCTACGGCCCTCGAATAATAGGTTAAGAGGCACCACGAGGAGTGCCAACAGGCAAAAACACAGCACTCAAGCAATGTATATCTAACCCAAGATACGCCACCCAGATGTAGTCATACTACGACTTAGTTACCAGACGAAAAAAAACAAAACAAAACATGCCTAGCGGCGGGAGGGAACCGCAATGCTTGACAAGGGTAGACCACAGAGCCAGACACATGCATAAGTGCCCTCACCCCTTGAACGCTCAAGGAGGGACCTGCAAATTGGGGGACAATAGGAGGAGAGGGATGTGTAGACCCAAGGCTCAACTCAAAACACCCTGGAACCCGCACGGCCAACACTACGAACCCACACACAAAGAAGCCCCACGGAGACAATTGGACTTAAACAAGAAACAATACACTGTTGGGGATAAAATCAGCCTGGCCCTTTGTGGATGATGGATATTTGCCAACTCATACAGAGCTCTGGAAATTGGAAATGAACAGCAGAGACGTGTTCAATAACCAATTCAAATTTTAATTGATACATCAGTTATACTTATACCCCATTTTCATGTCGGTGGGGGTCATTGAGCATTGTGACATAGTTTATTTTTCACAAGTTGTTTTCAGTTATAATTCGATGTTACATAATGTATGCATATTGGATAAAACCCAGATGATTACAAATACAGAAATCTTGGACAATACACAAGGACATTCTAGAATCCATGTCATGTCATGTCATGTCATGTCAATATCTTTTTCCAGGAACATAACAAAATCATGTTTCAATAACATTTCTGAGAATTGGAGATACAATTCCAAATTTATTCTTGATTCAAATTAACCCTTATATGAACAGCTAGGATATAGAGCAAAATGGATATTCATATCCTACAATTCCTCTCTTTAGATCATATCGTGATCTACCTTATGGAATATCCATGGGAGGCCTGCGGCAGAGAAACGAAAGGAGGTATATTCAGACGTGCTAATCACGTCTGCGGGACTTTCCTTATTTCTTCACCTCGATTTCCCCCATTTGCTCTATGCCGTAGGTTTTCCCTTTAAGAGGAGATCGAGCTGTCGATTTTCAGCTTCTGTAATCATCTGTTGTACACATCTTTTAAGTGTACAAGTTAAAAATTTCAAACAGCTGACATCTTAACCAATTTTAAACATACTGCACATCATGTTATCTGTAACTTGAGCCTTGGATCAAAACAGGCAAAGTGTATTATTCCCAACAACGGGAATATTATTATTATTATAATTCACAACGTAAACACATATAATCAAAAATGGGAATAAAATCTATTTCCCCTCTTTGGACCAGGGTCTTGGATTACCAGTCCACCCAGTGAACTTGGGCCAGGTCAAAAAACCCAGTGGCAAAAACTCATAGTTGAGGAAAAAAGCACATCTGGGTAAACTCTAAGTGAGTGTCATGACTGTGTAGACATGTCATCCCTTCACATTGACA